CGTTTATTTTGAAAGTGGCATAAGTCACTTTGTTTTTAAGTCGATATATTTAAGGGTTTGCGTTTTAACACGTTTAAAAATATGGATGCTAACTTTCGAGAAGATTTACTTGTATTTGTTATCTCAGGATACTGATATTTTTCTCAGTATAAATAATTTCGTATAAACATTAAAAAATCACCACTTTTCATTACGGTAAAGTGACTTATGCAACTCTCAAAATAAACGGCTCAATTATGAAATAAGAAATGTGAAAACGGTCATTTGACCGGCAATGGGTAGGTTTAGTTTTACGGAAAAGGACAGTTCACATGGCACAGCCTGAATACTGTGAATACCTAGAATGTGTATACTGTGAATATTTAGGACATGTAATTGACACGTTCTATGACAGAGTATTCATGAAAACATTCGCGAGAAAAACGCTGGTGAAAATCCATTGAAAGTGTGCCGTACAATACAGCTTTGGGCAACACGAAATCAATGAACCGCAGCATTCGAGGATTGCCTAGACATTTTGGTTTATTGGCAATTGTGTTTAGTTGCGTTCGTGTGTCAACATATTGGCAATTATTTTCAAGTACCTTTTGTTTCATTTTATTTTCGCCCACCGGACGTGGTGCATAGGACGCGATTGTTGTTTGTAAATGTGAAACTGTTTGCATGAAATTGAAAACAGTGGATGGATCGTCAGTTTACAGCCAAAATTGTTTTTAGAATTTTTACGCTATTTAGAAGCGTGTATGTGGTAACCGTACAGTTGGAAAACTTTTCGATTCTCTGGGGAGACCCGCGTTAGCATTTAAGCTATGGTTATACGTAGGTTCCTTTTATGTGGATTACTATGGGGCTGTTTGTCAAGGTAACGAGCACCCATCCACCATTCCCTGAAACAGTTAGGGTCAAGAGAAGACATAAAGGCAGCTCGACGAACACTTCCACCGACTGAATTTAGTTCTGCATCACCTGATCCGCCCATCCCCAGGAGCAGGGCGTTTCCGCGGGGTTGCCTAAGGATCCGATTGATCCTGCAGATATGATCTATCGCGTCCTGGAACAGCACCAGCTTCATGGGCGAGGTAGTGGAAGCGTTATAGTCCTCCAAGAAATCGTCCAACACGTGCTCCATCTGGAATAAAGGTATCCTCGATCGGTTGATCGATTTTTCCGCGCGCCCTAATTACTTTCCTAAACCTTACAAATCTTTTATAGACTTTAACAATGTTTCCTAAACAAAAGATTGTATGACAGTTTCGTCGAAGGACCACAGATAATTTCTTTCTAGTTCGAAGTTAAATATTTCTTACGTGCCTTTTTCATGTCGGTAATTTGTTCATACTCCTTACTGGTACCGCAGAAGTCAGCGTAGAACCGTACAACGTTCCCGACCAGCTTGTTTGCGTCACATTCAAAATTCTTTGCCAAAATGTTTCGGAGATAATCGTCGAACCATTTCCGGTCTTCGTCGTTGACCAAACGATCGCTGAACACCCTCAGATTCTCGTGGTACCACAACAACAACAGGTTTTCACGAATCTGCATTTGAGAACTGCAGTTGAAAGCAATACTCTTGGGAAAACAGTTCGATGAAATGTTGCACAAACACGAGCAATAAATTTACTTTCTTCTCCACTTTGAACCGGCCTATCAAGAAACGCAAAGATTTAATTGGAGCTTTAACCGGAATTGAAGCTCGCGAAGTGGTAAGCGCTGAGTCGTGAAACATCGAATTATAAACCTCAATTTTCGCGGGATTCATCATCAGCATTCCCTGGAAAACTTTGCCGAGATCTCGCAGGTTGAAGGTATAGTGGGACTTGTCTGGGGTGGGTAATAGCTCGTTGCATATCGTGGTGAACAAGTTTAAAGTTGTTTCGACGAACGTGTTCAACATATCTCCGAACTGTTCCGTGCGGGATAGCCACGAGTTCAAAATTGTGCCAAAGATGTGTCTCTGAAACGAACATTCTAACGTTATTCCTTCGGTGCATTCCCTTCTTCCACTTGCAGCCGTATAGATTGAGTGTGATAGTGGTATAATTGAGATTTTTCTTATTGCGAGAAACAACCAGTGTGTTATCGTTCACTAACATGTGTATTGTTTACTGATCAAATTTATGAAGGTATACGTTAGGCTGGTGCCAGCCAGCCAGTCAAGTACCTTCAAGGGGGTACGACGACGAACGTTTCTGGAATCGGACCACATAGGAACACCCCCACTACCATTTTTCCAAAGAAATCTGGATATATAAAGGGCCCAAACACGACCAGAAATCGGGCTAATTTCGAGTCATTCGTCGACGTGGAAACTCTAGCGAGATCGAGTCCTTAACCCTTTGCACTCGAAAGCTATTTGAACAGTAAATCTAAAATAATTTTTCTGACTTACAGTAATTCCACTTTGCATGACAAAGTGCATTTTATGCATACGAAATTGAGTCTCCTGATTTATAGAACAGTTATGCTTTTAATAATATTTATAATCTAATTACTCTTGGGCTCATTGCAGGTTTTTCTTGGTACCGTATATATTTTTCTAACTCAATATAAAAGTAACTTAACGATAAAATTAAACCATTTTATGTTTAGTTGCGTGTTACAGAGGTGCACGTTACAAGTGACTTTTATAACACTTCGTTTTCCTTCTTCGTTTTAATTGGAGTATTACTGCAATGATATCGCGATAATTGCTCCACTGAAACAAACGTTTCCTTCCTCGAATCGTTAAAAGCAGCGAAGGCACAATTCTGATAAAAATGTTATAGGCGATTCAGCCCGCATGCACCCGGCAAATGAAACGTTGCTAGGCACGCAGTGTCTGGATGACAGATCACGGTCGGTGGATAAATTTATTAAAAAACCTCCATGTGAAACGTCGGCTCGTTTGCATCGGGGATTTGAAATCGGCAAAAACCGGATCTCGAGGAAGCTAATCAAAAGATGTTGAGTCTCTGCAAAAAAAGCTTGCCAGGGATTATAGAAAAAGAAACTGTCATTTATCGTCATCTAATTGGACGGCGAGTTCCATACGCTCGTATCCCATCCGGTTTTCTTCCATCGAGAGTGGCCCGATCCACGCCCATGCGGAATAATTGCAGCTCATGAAACGGAATCGTGCTCTGACCGGGTCGGGCCGGGTCTCTGTTTGTCCTCTCGGTTGTGCCGGCTGCAATTAGGTCTCGTAAATCGTTCCGGTGCTCGCCATAATTTATCTTAATCACCTTCGCGCCGCGAATAATGAGCGCCCGTAACTACCCCATACGCGACAGAGGATTCTCTCCTCCGGCAACCCTCCAGCCACCTTCACCCTCTCGCGCGCCCCGTTCACTTTAAAGTGATTCGAGGAAGGTCGAACAGAGAGCGATTGCTTGCTCGGCCCTGGCAAATGTATTTCTGTCTTCGCGCATGGCGGTTTCCACAGCTCGGATTTCTAATTACTTGCTGCCAGTTCATCGAGAAGCTTGCGTGACGGTGAATTACACCAGGTATCCCCAGTTTTCGATAATTAATGCTTCGGTTAATTTGAACTCTGTGTTAATTTCGCTACGATGAGGAATGTATTAGGTCTACCGGAAAGTTCTGTCCGATAGTGTCACTTCAAGTTTCAATCCATATGCACATGTTGATTCGAGACATATATGACTATCTCTCTTTATCATTGCATTTACACACATGTACTCTCCTAAATAAACTGAAACAAAGATGTCTCATGTCGTTATTAAGTGAGACGCGATCGTGAAAACATGGCTACCGATGATAATGCCAGACCACATGCTGCTTCGGCGACTCGTCAGAAAATCGCAGAGCTAGGCTGGCAAATTCTGTCGCATCCACCATACTCCCCAGACCTAGCACCCTCCGATTATCACTTGTTTCTCCCTTTGCAAAACTTTTTACAGGAACAAGAATTCAAAACCGAAGCTGATGTCAACCAAGCACTAGTCGAGTTCTCCGCCTCTAAAAATAAATCATTTTTTAAAAATGGCATTTACAAGTTGCCATCACGCTGGCAAGAAGTCATAAGTAACGTTGGAAAGTATATTCTACAATAAATATTATTAAATGTATGAAAATTGTGTTATATTTCAATTAAAAAACGGACAGAACTTTCCGGTAGACCTAATATTTATAAATATTACGATGCTTTGTACAAAATGTTCCATCAAAGAGAAACCATCTGCTCGTCTTCGTTGCTCTGTCGTATAGGCTAACTAACTTTTGATTTATAATTAACTTTATATCCATCGAATAAGACATCTTTCAATTAAAAATACACAAAATAAAATAACGAATTTACAAAAAAGGAAACAAAAAATGTATTATGCGTCTTATTCGATAAATATAAAGTTAATTTTGCACGAGAACAAACCAAAAATAAAACGATTGGTCGCCCGATTGGTCAAACGTTAGCAATTCATTTCAATTCGTGTAGTTCGATGAGAGCTTGATTCTCGATTGAAAACAAAAACAAGATCCGTCATTGCTCCCATGGAATAATAGCGTGTGGAGAGGTCAGAAGTCAATCCGTGAACTGATCGAAGCAACGAGCACAANAAGTTCTGTCCGATAGTGTCACTTCAAGTTTCAATCCATATGCACATGTTGATTCGAGACATATATGACTATCTCTCTTTATCATTGCATTTACACACATGTACTCTCCTAAATAAACTGAAACAAAGATGTCTCATGTCGTTATTAAGTGAGACGCGATCGTGAAAACATGGCTACCGATGATAATGCCAGACCACATGCTGCTTCGGCGACTCGTCAGAAAATCGCAGAGCTAGGCTGGCAAATTCTGTCGCATCCACCATACTCCCCAGACCTAGCACCCTCCGATTATCACTTGTTTCTCCCTTTGCAAAACTTTTTACAGGAACAAGAATTCAAAACCGAAGCTGATGTCAACCAAGCACTAGTCGAGTTCTCCGCCTCTAAAAATAAATCATTTTTTAAAAATGGCATTTACAAGTTGCCATCACGCTGGCAAGAAGTCATAAGTAACGTTGGAAAGTATATTCTACAATAAATATTATTAAATGTATGAAAATTGTGTTATATTTCAATTAAAAAACGGACAGAACTTTCCGGTAGACCTAATATTTATAAATATTACGATGCTTTGTACAAAATGTTCCATCAAAGAGAAACCATCTGCTCGTCTTCGTTGCTCTGTCGTATAGGCTAACTAACTTTTGATTTATAATTAACTTTATATCCATCGAATAAGACATCTTTCAATTAAAAATACACAAAATAAAATAACGAATTTACAAAAAAGGAAACAAAAAATGTATTATGCGTCTTATTCGATAAATATAAAGTTAATTTTGCACGAGAACAAACCAAAAATAAAACGATTGGTCGCCCGATTGGTCAAACGTTAGCAATTCATTTCAATTCGTGTAGTTCGATGAGAGCTTGATTCTCGATTGAAAACAAAAACAAGATCCGTCATTGCTCCCATGGAATAATAGCGTGTGGAGAGGTCAGAAGTCAATCCGTGAACTGATCGAAGCAACGAGCACAAGAACGAGCGAGCGCCACTTTATAGCAGTTTCGAGTATATCGATGCACTGTCCTCAACATCAAGTTCAATTATTTCCCATCGAAGCATTTTCATCGTTCGAATATAACATCGAACAATGTGAAAACTGAAACCGATCATTTGATCGATATTGGTACAAGTTTGGTATCAAAGAATGTATTATCTAACTGACCTGCATCTTCTGCAATCGATGCTTATTTATGTAAAAATTTACAACCTAGTTACAATTCTTTTGAAATGAAACGTCCATTCGGCCGTTGTCTCTTGCAATCGACGCAGAGCATTTTTAACTCGCTTGAAGATACACAGTTTTTTGATAATAGTTTATTTATAGAATTACTGTGCCAATACGTCACGGAATTACAATACCACCACTACACTGTATGTCTGTGGTACAGCGTAATTGGGGTCTACTTAAAGGTAGCCTGTCTAGGGGAGGGTGCGAGAAAAGGGCGAAGCACTTTGGAACTTCGAACGTTGATCGGCGAGCGAGAATTTTTCGCGTGGCCGATGAAACGAAGATAAATTATTCTAAGCGACATACCTCTTCGGCCTGCCGATTTTCTCAGTCCATTAGCTACCACTGTCCCGTTTATGAGACTCTGCTGGGAAATATTATTCCGTACGGATCGACCGCTCGGAAACTGATTTATTCGAATTTTTGTTCAATGTACCGAAAACCGTAAAATTCTTCGCAAAGACGAAGACAGTTATTACACGCTTGCATCGCATATTGCGTCGACGCGTTCTAAGCACCAGTGTATCCAATCTACGACGCCGTTCATTCTTTTTAACGCCTTATCCGCCAACGGTGACTTAACAGTCTTATGAGAACCAAACATAAACACTTGAGAATCTTTTAATGAATCGAAGATAACTTTAAAGCTTGTTTAGTAATAGATACGATACAGGCATTGAATAATCTATCCGATAACACGGAGTGTTCAGATTTAAAAAAATACACGCAAAACTTTATTTGAAAATTTAGAGAAAGTTTTGGCTAGTGAATTGCGCCGAGCCAAAAGAAGTTAGGAAACTCCGCGTTTAGCTTTTGTACTCAAACATTTATTTCCTATTACGTTTTTATTGGAGACTTCCTTCAAATATTTAACTTTCGTATCGAGCGAGATATTGAAATTGTGCAGCAGAACGAAATTAACTTTTTTCGGATGCAATATTGACACGTAGAGAAGATACAATAACGGAAACGAGTTATACGCGTCATGAATTCGTGAAACTACCAACGTGAAATTTTGAAGAAGTCGATTTTTTTATATTTTCCTGAAGAATATATTGTTTCAAAAATACGCCTACAAAACCTTAAAATCAGAATTCTTAAAATTGACGAAGTTATAGCGAGTATGATATTCAAAATGTGAATGTTAAGTATAGGTATATGAAAATATAAACACGTTTTTCTTGAAACTATGTTTATCAGGACCATAAAAAGTGCTTAACGAATTACCTTCAGAACCAATTTAAAATTCTAGTTTTTTAGGCTTCTAATGTTGAAAAATCGATAATCGAACAAAACGACCTTTTTCTTTTGTTTTAGTATCTACTGTAGCCAAACTCATACTAATTAAGAATCGAACATGTTTTATTCATTTCGGATAAACAAACTAGCCTGTATTTAATAATAAATAACTCTAAATAAAACCCTATAAAATTGACTGTAAAAGTTATAGTTTCTTTACAAAAAAATCTCAAAAAAAGACACTCGCCGTTCACTCTGTAATACCTCCTTAATTGATGCAACCAAAAACAGAAAATGTTTCTTTTTTTAATTGGTCAATCAAATCAATCGAAAAATATCAATATATTCTCAAAATTTGGACATTTTTACAGTCCCTAAAATTTACTGTCTCTAAATGCCCTGTACGAGTGTGCTGTACGACAGGACAGTATAATATAATTACATATAATCTCATTATATGAGCCGTTTATTTTGAAAGTGGCCTAAGTCCATTTATTTGAAAATCCAGACATTTAAGGTTTTTACGTTTTAATAAATTTAAAAATATTATATGGTGGTATAATGTTTTTGTGTTCCTAAGAATCACTGCGTTCTTTCAGCTTTGCTGACATGAAATTATATGTATAACGTAGAAATGTGAATATTAAAATAGCTAGCTCGGTGTTTTCGAAAAATGACTTAGGCCACTTTCAAAATAAAAAAACGGCTCATATATATTTCGTATAATCTCAGTTCAGCATGTTCGGATTAAAGTAACGCACGGAAAAGAATTCCGATGTTCAACCGACGTTCAGAGTTTCTGTTGTATGGAGAACGTAGGTTTGAAAATTAATTACCTTGGCTTCGTTCTCCATTTCAGGGAACCCGATGAAATGGAAATGTCGCAATAGTCTATTGGTGACAGGGTTCCTGCCTCCACCTGGTGGACCCATCGCTCCTACGAAACCCACGTCTTCGATCTCTCGGAACGATCCGATTTCCTTCCGATCGTACCATCCTGAAACGATCCATTGAAACCCACGTTTAATTCTACCGCTAAATTTCGATAAGCGAATGCATCAGAATATCACTATTATTTCTATGACACTTCCGTGTTCGTTAACTAATGCATAATATCGAGTGCTCAGATTCTCGTCCCCTACCCTTTTAATATTATCATTATTATTATTTATTAGTTAACGGGTGTTAACCCTTGATACAAGAAGATTCTTGGGACTAAATGTGGGTTACCTCACTATGATGTAAAATGCATAACGAGGTTATGCCTAAAACTTTCAGAAGAACTAGAAAAATCAATCAAATCTTTCAAATGATTTACATTGATGAAGATACGATTTAAGGAGTTACTGTGGACATGAAATTATAAGAAGATCGGCCGGTGTTTCAGAGCTACCGATGATACATTCAATGCAAATTCAAAAATTCAAAATTCTTTCATTTTTATTTCATTCAATTATTTATCTTATCATATCCTTGGATTAATATGTATCTGTATATAGTTATTAATCCAAGGATATGATAAGATAAATAATTGAATAAAATATACAGATACATATTAATCCAAGGACATGATAAGATAAATAATTGAATAAAATAAAAAGGAAAGAATTTTGAATTTTTTTGAAGATAGATTTGCCAGGTTTATTTGCCACGTTTCCTTGTTTTACGATTTCTCCCTGCGGGAAAGTGCGCTGAGATGGTCGACAAGTGCAAGGGTAAACATACCATTGAAGTCCATAAACTGTCTAATTAATTCGATAGGTGGCTGAGCACCGTACGTGTCAAGCGCAGGCATATTCAGGTCATCGACGAAGAACACTTGTTTCCTGAGCACTGGCGGCCCGTAAACATCCTTGCGCCGTTTGCCCAGCTTCTCATCGATTAGGTCCTTTCCGTGGCGTAAAACATTACGTTATGTACTTTCATTAAATGTATGCGATAAATCAGCGCAACTACAGGCACAGAGAAATTGTAACAACGTCCACCTGAGTCTGATTGGCTGTGGTCCTAGCGGAGAACGTAATGAAATCGCAGATGAATCGTTTAGGCATGTTTCTCGACAGTTTTCCAGAAACGGTGAGGGTCTTGCCACTTCCGGTGGGACCGATGCAGAGAACGTTCGAATCATTGATCAAGAGGTAACCGATCAACGTTGCGCTTCTGACGCTGTCCATCGTGGGCACTTCGATGTCTAGAAATTGAAACAAGAAACTAGCATCGTTGACCTTCCGGTGGCCGAAACATTTCTGTGTTCGAAAAATATTTTTCGCATCGTTGACTGATATTTAAAGAGATCGATTTATTATACAGGGTTCCCCGGAAAGAATCATCCGATTTCAAAAATTTATATTTTAGAAAATTACACACAGAAAATTATAATTCAAACACGAATATAACGGGAAAACGTGTGAGTTTTTGTTTACAAGTGTTCAATATGACTTCCTTTCGTTACACGTATGATATCATTGCGATATGAAAGTTCTTGCCAAACACGGTGTAATGTATCTCTGGTGATTGTTTGTACAGCATCACAAATGCGTTTTTTCAGTTCATTTACACTTGTAGGTAAAGGTGGTACAAAGACAAGATCCTTCACAAATCCCCAAAGGAAGAGAAGTCGCATGGGTTTAGGTCGGGTGATCTCGGAGGCCAACTGTGTAGAACCATATTATCGGATGAACTGCGACCAATCTAACGGTTTGGTAGTTCCGTGTTAAGAAAATTCCGAACCTCCAAGTGCCAATGGGGTGAAAAGTAAAACTCGCACATTTTCCCGTTATATTCGTGTTTGAATCATAATTTTCTGTGTGTAATTTTTTAAAATATAAATTTTCGAAATCGGATGATTCTTTCCGGGGAACCCTGTAT